GATTTTTAGTCTTATCTTCCAACTCTTTAGGGTTTAGAAGCAGTAAGCTTTTCCAATACTGCACAGTCCCAAATTCCCACATCTTTTATTCCCTTTCTACTTACAAATTCCTTTCTGAGTTCATCTTTTTCTTGAAAAACATAGAAGGGGTAAATAGTGAGTTTCTTGGCAAACAGGGAGGAGCAATAGGTCCCTCACCCTGGCCTGTCAGAGCTACACAGTGACAAGGTACATGGTGGGGTTAGCCTTCTAAGTTCTCACAGATGAGAGTTTGTATAAAATGCTTTTTCTTCTTCACAGTAGGGATCTCAATGTCTTTGGCTTCCAATAGTTTTATCACCGCCCACCACCCAACCATTGTCAGTGTCACAGTGGCTTAAGTTTTTTGACAGTAGCACCCACCTTCAGGGCATTTAGAATCACTGAAGCAGATGATTCTAAAATGCCTAATGGTGGGGGCACCCTTGCTCATGGAACAGGGTTGCCTGATTCCACCATAGTGGGGAAGGGCACCCTACTCCACTCATTCTGGGACTCAGCTGACAAGGGCTGTGTCACTTCTGAGGTCACTTCATCCTCATCTGCCTGGTTCCAGGATCTTGGGGAAGGGGAAGAGGCACAGCAGATCACTGAGTGTGGTTTTCATATGGGCCAGCTCGGGATGGGTCACTTCAGTACTCACTAAACCATGGTTACACTTCACCCCATGGTGGGTGGGAGCTATAACTGTGTCCAAGTAGAAGAGGAAATGGGATCCAGGGTGGCCAACTTGGTCCAGTTTGCTTAGGACTTTCCTGGAGTAGGCACCAAAAGTCCTGGGCAAATAGGTGGAATTGGTCACCCTAAAAGCCTCCATTGTATTCTTGGTCCTTGGAAAGTCACYGAGTCTTCCATTTTCTTGGTCACCTGGTCTACAGTGACTGCAAACCACATATTAGGGCATGAATTGAATGTGATTAGGAAGCAATGGGACACATTATTTTAATTGAAATATATGTTGTCCCTGGAAATTGGGGTGTGTGTGTGAGATGCAGCCTTGGGGTATCACATCAACTGTCTCTGCCCCTGAGTCAACTATAAAATGTAATGGCAGGGCCAGAGTACCATGAGGAAATGTGACCTATTCAGCAAAAACTCTTAGAATTCAGAAATGTTTTGCCAAAGGGCTCACCTGAGAAGGAACAGTGAAGGGATGGCTCAGATATTATATCACATAAGGCAAATTTTGCTGGAAAACGAAACAAAAATGACCTCATTTTAGCTGTCCCTGAGGCCTGCTCCCTCTACTTATCTCCGACACGTAGAAGGTATTCAGTAAATGTTCTCTGAACAGACTAACACGTAGCTCACCAGCTAAAGCTGTGTCCACTTTCTCTAATCCAAAAGGTTTTTCAGATTTGTTTTGTTTTGAGGTGAAAGGTGAGCTGCCACTTTAGGCAGAAGCTTGCTTGTTACAGATAGAAGGAAGATGGAAAGCAGGGGTGGAAATTTGTGACCTGTGGGCTGATCGGCTTAGGAGGTGTGCTTTTATTTGGTCTGCACAATGTTCAGAAGACAGTTATTTCCAGACAGAACCCTGAATTTCTACATCTTGAAAATTGAATGTTCTGGCAAYAGGATGGTTGAATTCCCACACGGCAGCTGGATGGAACTGAGTGGCAGCTGAACCCATCAGAACGAGCACTCCCCTCCTCAGTTGCCAGTCACTGTACCTTCTGTGCCTTACCTCACTCACTCGGGGCTTTCTTGTCATATCTGGTAGACACTGGAGTCTGAAATAACTGGTTTAGCATGCAGATCTACCTTGGAATATCGTAGCAATTTCGCACATTTTTAGAGGCTCCTGAGTCTTCCAGTAGCTTCTGATAGGATTCGATAACTGATCCTATAATTTCAGGCCTGCCTGGCATTCCATAGCACTATTTTATGTAGAACTTTTCTCCATTAAGAATTAATAATTTAAGACATATTTTCTTCACCTATAATTGTTTACTTACTTCCACCAACATTATTTTCAAACATGGACAGTTCCCAGTCAATCCCTTCTCTAATGCACATCAATCAAACAGCTGTCATTTGGCATCATTTCTTAGATACAGAAGAAATGGTGCATTCTGCCCACATTCTCTGAACATTTTCTTCCTATGTGCATTTTCATAATAAAGTTTAAACAGCCACTACTATCATCAAATGCTAAATCAAAAAGCTCTCAGAAAAATCAAGCTGCAATAGCTTTATTCCTAAGAAAAATATAAAATTAAATACATAGCTGGACACACCTGTAATCCCAGCTACTCGGGAGGCTGAGACAAGAGGATCACAACTCAGTGAGACCTTGTTTCAAAATAATTTTTTTTTTTTTAAACTGGGATGTAGTTCAGGGGGGAGAGCACTGTCCCAGCAGCAAGGCCCTGGGTTCACTTCCAGTACACACTAACACACACACACACAGAGCCATGTACACACAGCTATGAACAAGAAAATGAATAACTCAAAAGCAACAGCTGACACTGTTTAGAGGGTTGCTTTGAACCCATTTCTGTGCTTTCAGCCTTCTGATATTTGCCTTACGAAACTCCTATGGAGACAGAAGGTCCCCGTTTGAGGCATGAGGCCACAGATGCCAACAAGTAACTTGCCCATGGTCACTTAATTAGTAAACAGACAAAACTAGTATTAAAACCAAATTAATTTGGTCTAAGAAATTAAATGAACAAACACACACATCACACATACACCCTCCTCCCAAAGTTAGAATAAAATCAAGTCACAGTGGAAAGCAGAGGTTCAAAGCATATAGGACAGGATGTAATCCTCATAATCTGATCCAGTCCTTTTACAGAGGAGAAATCAGGCCTGAGGGGTTCTGAACCTCTTCCTGCCCCCAGAGTCTCTTAGCTCCCGGTGCTTGTTCCTCCCTGACACCAGTGCAGGTACCCTGCGGCACATTTCAAACCCTGTTACCTAAGAGGGAGAGGAAACTTCATTTTCTCTGGCTCTCTAATTCTGCCACTATTGCTGTCTGAATGGAGCTGAAGTTAACATCTAAAAGCAGTCATGTTGTCAGGCCCTGCAGCTTCAATTACTTGTTTTACACATTTTATACACGTAAGGACCAGCGGTGTCTGTGTTGAAATTCATTTTCATTTCTAATTTTAGTTATAATTAACTTTTATACATTTCTTGCATAATTTAAAAACTGATTCTGGCATGGCATATTCATCACAAAATGAAGAGTAAATTTTTGCTCTTAAAATATGCAAAAAAAAAGCAGTTACTGAACATAGCTAATTTGAAACAGAATACAGACATTCATTAAAATCATGTAAAATTCCTTGGCTTTTCCTTCACTGAACGGCRGTCTGTCCTGCTGCAATTAATGATGTCATGAACACCCACTGCCCTCCAGCATTCCATTCTCCTTAGAAATCTTTCCTGCCCCACAGAACATAAATGTGATACAATCAATTATATAAAACCTACAGGCTAATAAGGCCTAGTTAGGTCTGTAGTAGCAAAACACCTTTTTTGAGTATGATTAAATATGTCAATCACCTAAAATACATATAATAAATGAAAGGCACCTATGGGAACATCTTTCAATTTTAATAATTAATTCTGACTTCACATACAGTATTTGGCTACCAAAATTTCAAGGGAGTTTTATTTCTTCTGTGGGGAGGAAGGAACTGGGGATTGAACACAGGGGTACTCTACCACTGAGTTACAACCCCAGTACTTTTTATTTTTTTAATTTTAGAGACAGGGTCGCACTAAGTTAACCAGGCTGGCCTCAAACTTGTGATCCTCCTGCCTTAGCCTTCCAAGCAGCTGGCATTACAGTTGTACACCACTGTGCCCAGGTTTAGAGTTTCACATATTTAATAGAAGGACCAAAAGGATTCTTCAGTAATGGAGAAGAAATTGAGCTTTTCCAAATCCTCCACAATTTCCACATACAATGTTAGGAAATTTCATTTAAAAACATAAAAGATGAAATGACTACTCACTACAGTTTTCCTTTTTGAAGGAAATATAATTACTACCTAAGTATCCCTTAATTAAGTCAAAATTATCTGATCTTTAAATTAATATGACACAAGATTTTTGTGAGTCCTCTTCAAGTTTCCCAAACATCTCTGGGCAACTGCCAGCAGGCTATGATGGGCAGCTAGTTCACTGCTTCAACACTTCCATTTTCTAACTCACGCATGCCATCTGAGTCTTTTCAGGAGTCTCATGACCCACTCACCTGTCAATCTCCTACAAATGGAGAAGTGACAGATTCAGAAAGTTAAGTCCTTGTCCTACAAGTTTGTGCATGCTCTGATTCCCATATGGCAAAGGGCTGTTGCTAAGGTCCTCAGGCAGATTATAGACAATTAGCTTTAGGATTCCAGTGTATTTTTAAATTTTGACTTATTTTATATTCTTATAGAATCAGCTGGGAAGGACTCCCTTGATCATTAGGTCCTACCTCAAATCGAGTACAGGCAACCCCTGRAAATCAGGTCTTTTGCTTGGACAAAATAAATTATTGCCCCAGAAGCTAGAAGCTCAGAGCACCCTACAAGAGACATCCCAACCCAAGGTGAAGAGTCCTTAAAGTGGAAATCAGATTCTCTAAGTTTCATTTCAATAAGGCTTACTTCCCATCTGGTTCAGTAAACAATGGAAGATGAAGATATTCATGAATTCCAGAATTTTAAAGCCATAGGAAAATTTAAGACATTTATCTTTCAATCCTTTTCATCAGCCCACAGGGGTGAAGTGACTTGTCCAAGACATGCTAGAGTTGGAAGAACTGAGCCATCTTCTCCACTGTCTCTTCTCTTACTAGCCCAACAATGCCATGTCRAGTTCCTTCCACATCACACCCCTACTTTGTCCAGCACTTCTACTCCCTGTCAGGATTTTACTAGCCAAATTGCTTAGCTTAACCTGCAAACAGTTGTGGAAATACCTGCAGTTATGTTCACACTGTAATATGGAAACACTTGTTTATCAACATTTTTATATGCTTTATTGAAAGTTGACAAGTACAACAGTTAAATACAGTGACACCTTACAACTGTGTAGAGAACATGCACAGGAACATTTGCAATATAGCTACTATACAGGTGATATGCAGAAACCCCTACTGGGAACTCCAATTTACTAGCTAAAACTGATCATTTTTCAAAGTTATCAACCTGCTCAATCCAAAGACTTCAATGAACAAGGATTTACTTCAAAATATTCAGCAGCTAGATTTCTGATTACACAAAGTGACTAACTGTGCCAAATTCTTAAAATTTCTTCAGGTGTGGTTTTTGTCATGTAGCAGTTTTATGCAGGTCTCTATATAAAAGACAATCCACACCTCTTTAGACAGCCAATGAAACACCTAAATTTCAATCTGTACAACCTAAACAGTAGTTCCAGTCCTCTAATGTACAAAATAGTTACACTACATACACAAATATACAATAAGCAAAACAACCTTCATAGTAAGATAGCCTAGGTCCCAGCTACCTGTCACCGTTTTATCACTAATAGTTTTGTGTCATCCGCTGTTTAATAAAAGAGGCACAGTACTATTTTTTTTTTATAGGTTTTGGTGACAGTCGTCAGTGTGTACAATGAACTGCATTCCCCCTCGTTTTAGTCTTGTTTCTTGCCTCCCTTTYAAGTTCCTCATGGGGAGGAGAGGAGAGTGCAAAGTCCAGTGAGGAGCTCCATTGCTTCCTAACCCCATGGAGTACACTACCAGCAGCAGAACTCCTGGAAGTGGGGTGGGCAGCAAGAAGGGATGGAAAGGCACACAGCTCCTCAGCATCAATTAACCATTCCTCAGATTATCTGCCAAGCTGCACAGGGTACAATCCATGCTAATTCTCTGTAACCTTTAATTCACCCAACTAATAAATTTCTTCAAGCCAAAAGCAAATGAGTGTTTAATACTGGGGAAAAAAAGAGATAATGGCATATGTCAGTCTCACGTCTCTTTTGCAGCGAGCAATGAAATGGGTGACTGTGGAGGCAGACTCTCCGTAGTACATCTTCCTGGTGTGTTCAGTTCAGACAGCAGCAGCAGCAGCCAGTTCTGCGCGGGCATAGGAGGCTACGCGGTTGGTCCTGAGCCCTGGGAMGCTGGCTGAGCAGGGGGCTGTGTGGTCCCCTGTGGCTGCGTGGTGGCAGGAGGGGAGCCAGTCTGCAGCTGGGCCTGAAACTGAGCGAGCTGCTCAGGACTGGCCAGTGTCTTCAGCAGATTGTTTTCCTGCTCCAGCTGGGAATTTTTCTCTATTAGTTCTTTGATTTGCTCTTTGAGGACCTCCACTTCCTCTCTAACTGCATACATCAAATGGCTTTTCACCAGATCCTAAAAGAAAAAGGGGGAGAAAAAGGGTTTAATCTACTCTGAATTTCTAAAGCATTATTTTGCAAAAGCTCTCTAGGCCTAATCTTTCACATATTTTGCCTTTGAAGTTCAATAAACCAGACTTGGGTAAATCTGAATACAACCACAAGTGCACAGTACTTTAAAGTATAAGTGATCAGGCCTTCCAAAATTCTATGGTTCCTCTGCAGAGGTTAGCAGGGACGCATACAGTCGGGTTCCTAKTTGCGATGGCAAAATGCACTTGGGCTCCTCCACTGGGCGCTGGGTTCCGGGAGCCAGGCCTCCAGGATGTTCAGGCCCGCAGCTTAGTGGCTGTTTCCCCGCCCCCAAGTCCCTCCCCAGCCTTCCAGAGCCGCCTCCCTCAGCACCGGCTGCAGCCAGTTCCTACAGAGCATGTTGCCGCATTTTCTTCCCTCCACCCCAGGCCCCCCTCTTTTCGTGATTAAGCTGACATCACAGAAACCTGGGCAGACGTCGTAGCCAATGGGAGCCTGAGTTATTTATAGCTCCGAATTAAAGGTTCGGAGTTTGCCTAGCAACAGTGGGCAGAGAATCCCGTGAGAAGAGCCACAGGCGCTGCTCCAATAACAAAGAACGGCCAAGGCGGAAATAAAAAATAGGAGAAATCCAAGCGCAGGCTGAGAAAACAAAACTTTTCTCCCATTCTCCTTCATTCTGCAGTAGCATGCATTGCTGGGGATCCATTTGTGCACGGTCTAGAAGGCTCTTCACTGAGATCTCCACTTCTGGGGCCCTCCCCGCTCCAGGCTCCCTAGTAAAATTTTAGGATTCCTAGTGAAGCCACATCCTTATAGATGTGCCCAGGACCAACGGAAGGAGACGCTGAGCCAGCGTTTTCCTAGCAAAAGGGGACACCCTAAAAAAATCCTAAGGTTGTATGAAATCAGTCCAGGAGAGAACATTTAATACCCTGAGGGCCTTTACGTCCATGGCAGCCATGGTATGTAGCCCCACGCTGGCAGAATAGAGATAGCAGCAGCTTTTCTGAATGTATGAAGAACAATCTACATCATCTAGTCCTAAGGGATGCACTGGTTCCACCCCAAGACATCTCGCTTTCTGTGCTGTGTCCACGTTTAATACAAATGATTTTTAATCAGTACATACCATAGCTTGCTCGATTTTGTTGTCGATAGCTACCACACTTGCACCAGAGGAGCTGAAAAAAGAGGATAAAAGAGATCATCAAAAACAAATGGAATTTAYCTTAAGCATCCAAGATAAAAGACGGATCTCTCAATTCTGTGATGTTATTAGCATCATATTTTGAATGTTCTCAAACGCTATGAAATTTATCACCCTCCAGAAAATACAGCCACTCTCTTACTAAGGACTATCCAGGCATTTCCCTATTTTACTCAGCCACAAAGGGCTAAATTACATAATGTGGGAAAGCCTGTTCTCTTGACCAGACCTGCGAAAATCACGCTTTTCTGAACATTTTAAAAAGCAACATCCATGTCACAGTAATCTCTCAAGCTATGGACAAAGGAATTTGCCCAGCTATCTATCTTTTACCTGCATTATTACAAATACCTCTCGAGTAAATTTTAAAAAACTACTCCAGCCAGCATTTACCTATTGTCAAGTCTCACAGAGGCGTTTTCAGTCCCCAGCAAAGATGACAAGAAAGAAATTGAGAAATGTCTCAGTTGGTAAACTCCTAGATCCATCGCCACTGGTCTACACCATTGGGATTTCATGCAATTGCAGCCAAAAACACCCTCGTGGAAAAAATATAAAAAAAGAGGGAACAGCAGCGGCCTTGCTTGTGCTAGATAAAGTCTTCTAGCTTTCTACAGCCCAAGGAGAGAGAAAACAGCAGCGCCAGTTTAAAGAAACCCGGCTTCTGGGGCTTGGAGAACCGGGCAGATTCAGATCCCAGCGCTACGCGAAGCCTCGGGACCGGCAGCGCGCTCCACTCGGCTCTAGACCGGGTCTCCCGGTCTAAGTGCAACATATATTCAGCACACAGAGGCGCCGATTGGCCAGTTCTACTCGGACCGCCCCTCCGCTCTCCCCCGCCCGCCCAGCTCCCCTGGCTGCCTCCCCCGCCAGCGCTCCAGCTCAGCTCCGAGCAGTTCTGGGAGCAGCTGGGGCGCGGGGCGCGGGCCGCGGAGGCCCCCACGGCCTGGGAATGCCTGGCCACCGCATGGACAGAAAGTGTCTAGGTCCCTGAAGACACGATCGATGCCCCGCACTGCTTACGTTTAAGGGGAGTCAGACCCCGGTCCCCGGAGCGGCGGGTCCCGGCGACCACTGCTCAACCGACAACGCTTCCTATTTGCAACAAGAACAGTCTGATCTACTGGGCATGCCCAGTCCCACCACTAAAGACTTGCAGGAGCTGGAGCATCTCGATTTCAATTATCTGGTTCTTACAGGCAGCAGTAATGGGATGATTTTATAGAGGGTTTTATTTATAAGAATAATAACCCTACTGCAAGAATATTTTTTAAATGCTAATAAAATTACATTTGCTTTTTGAATAATAGTACCTTCACACGAATTTATCAGTTACTTTTAGAAACTAATACTACATTTTCTTCGCTAGGCATAAAAAAATTGGGTCAAAGGAAACCATAGAATGAAATCCAGGGTATCTTCCCCAAATGTCCCCAGAGCCATCAGCCTCGAAATCGTATCTCCCCAACAGCACCAGGAATTAAATATACCTTTTTCCATTTATAACTAGAAAAGTCAGTCCATGGGTTGGATCCTAAAGAGATCCATTTTCAGCAAGTCACTAAGGCAAGTTTTTTGGAGGTTAAGCGGCAATTCTTCCAAGACTCAATCTTATTAGACTGAAATAGTCCAGTACCCTTCAAAGCACACAACTCCTTGGAGGTAGTCTGCCCATTTGCAGTGTCCAGAATCAGTCAAAAGGAGCATGTGATGGTTATTAAAAATAGTTAAGTAGCCAAGGAATACTGCAGGCTCAACCTATGGTCACACTGAACAAATAATTCACTTTGCCAAACCCAAATCAAGAGATCTGGGTGTAAAATGCAACCTGTGACAAAATCATCTCTATTAATTTAAAATATCTGCAAGGATGCATCAGTTAAGATTACAATTAGTATACTGTAGATCTAAGAAGTTTGCTTATTAACACAATATAAACAGTTCGCAGTACATTTGAGAAGGGAACATTAACCTCTACAATACTGCCCTCTCATGGCATAATACTATAAAAACAGAAGGGGGCGGGGACCCACTACAAAGTATTTGGGATCTAATTCATAGGCAAGTTGCATCATCAAAAATAATTGCAACATAATTCTGACCACAGAATGTAAACATATATTACACACACACACACACACACACACACACATACACACACACTTCTTCCAAACAAGCGTTCTCCCTCATGGAACATCCTTTCCTAAAATTTCCATCACAGCCTTTTGGAGAAGCTTTAAAGCTGACCTAAGTCTGGCAGAGGGACATTTAGTTTTTAAAACTGTTTAAAGCAATTAGGAACCAAATATGGTGAATTTATCAGTAGATGAAGAGGAGGATAAAACTTTTGGGGGGTTAAAAACTAAGTATCTATAAGACAGTAAGATACATTTTTATTATAAGGTTCATGTTAGGCTTTGATTTTGAATAAAACATTTACTAGCATATCTATAATTTATAAAAATTAACTATTATATATTTTTAAAGAAGGCACCCATTTTCAGTAAGAGGAAACAATACACAGAAACTCAAAACCTATAATAATTTGGAAAACAAGCATATAGTCCCTATGTCTACAAATGCTAAATAGAACTATTATTTACTACACGATAGCTTCCATACTTTGAAAGTTAAAGTTATGACTAAAACTATCTGTGATAAGATCCATTTACATAATCCAACTGAATACCAACTTCAAAGGAAAAGCTATWAAAGAGCTTTAAAAATCTTCTACATTCACATAAAGAAATGAACTTAAAATTCTCAGCTGGAGTTTAAAAATATTACTGAATTAACTGAATTTTATTTAATCAAGTTGTTCTTGAACATAAGCAGAAATCAGTTAACTATGTTTTTATTTCAGTCATTTCAATTAAGCAACAGAAGCAAATACAAACATATCCCTCCTGAGGGACATTTTGGTCATCTCTAATACTTTCTATTTCAAATAAAATGCAAGAAACATCTTTGTATATTCATCYGAGAGAGGGGAGGGAGAAGGAGGGAAAAGAACATGTACATTTCTGCAGAATTTGCTAAGCCAAAGGATATGCAACAAAAAGAATGATTAGAAATTTAATTTTTTCAAACCTTTCATATAAACATGCTACTTTTTTTGAAACTGGATTTTTACCTGAAAGCTGAAAAGACATAATTTGGAAAAGAAGGCAAAGGAAATGGAGGAAAGGTTCATGGAGGAAAACCACTGAATCAGAAATATCTGGGGTACAAATRTCTAGAATTACATTCAAAGGTTCTTCTGACAAAACACCTATGAGTCTTGTGTCAGAGCTCATCGAAGACTTGCTGATAGGACAGAGAAAATACCACAAGCCTCCAGAAGGAGGCTATAAAGGTAATGGACCATACAAGTCAGCTTTAGGCCCTGGGCAGAGATCAGGAGCTCTCACTCCCCCAAGTATTCTGAAACACAGGGAACAGACTGGACACTAGCGATTGGGATGCTTTGTTATTGTCTGCTTTGGAGCCTTTTTGCATGGATTCCTATTCAACCACCTCTGCATCTTGGTATAAAGATATTTGTGTCCAACTAAGAAATAAATATTAAGGAAAAAAAAAAAAAAAACATGGGGAAACCGTAGAAGAGGAGCAGAGGCAGGGCCTGTACTGTATTTCTGAGTAACTAAATCTGATTTGACATGGTCAATATTAGTAAAGGGGGGCGGGAATCCATCACCACTCAACAAGGATAATCTCTTTCTCCCCATCCAAAATTCCTTGTAAATCTGAAATGACTGCCAAGGAAGCAGGTAAGACACATGGCCCTGCAACTGACCAAATCACTGTTGTCTAGGGACTCCCAGGTAACCTCCACTTTTCTAGTTTACTCTCATTAGGCTCTGAAAGCAGGGTTATCAGGTTTAGCAAACCGCAGGATTCCCTGCTAAAGAAAATGTGGTATATATATGTACAAGAAAATATACTCAGCCATAAAAAATAAAATCCTATCATTTGCAACAATATGAATGGCTTTCAAGATTTTATTAATTGAAATAGGCCAGACACAGAAAGACAAATACCACATGGTCTCATTCATAGGTGGAATCTAAAAAAGTTGATCTCATTAAAGCAGAGTAGAAAGTAGTTTACCAGGGACTGGGAAGGTCATGTGGGGTGCAGGGGAGGGAGAGGGTGAAATGAGAAGATGTTGGTCAAAGGTATATAATTACAGATGGAAGAAATAAGTTTAAGAGATCTGCTGTACAACATGATGGCTAGAGTTAATGATAATATATTGTATATTTTAAAAATGCAGAGTGGATGTTTAGTATTTTCATCACAAGAATGTAACTATATGAAGTAATACATTTGCTAATTAGCTAGACTTAACTATTCTACAATATACATATATTTCAAGACATAATACTATATACAGTGAATACATACAATTTTATCTGTCAATTTAAGAAATATTTAAAAACTGAAATGTATTAAAAAAAATCTGATTAACAGACAATGAATAATACTTTAGTGTTGATTCCCCTCCACATTGTCATAACAAGAAATAATGCCAAAGAAATCAAAAAAGGGAAAAGCTGTTAGACTCAACCATATTTTAAATTTCCTTGTTTTGATAAAGGTTAGAAAGTGGAAAAAATCTTAAAAAAAAAAAAAAAGAACAACAAAAGGAAAATAATGAGAGAATTAGGAGATAAAAGAGAAGAAACTTTAAGGATGACTGTACATCCAACACCAAAACGGAATGAGTTCCAAAATTAGAGGGAAGGGAAATCATTTAGAAATTAAAAGAAATCATTTAAAAATTTTTCCAGAACTAAAGGGCACAAAAGTCCAGTTTAAATGAGATGATTAAATGCCCACCACTATAAATGAAAAAAAGCCTTATAGCAAAAGCACATCATGAAACTTCAGTTCATTCGGATCGAGAAAAATTCCTGAAAGCTTACAAATGGGAAAAAAAATAAGTTACAAACACAAGAACTACCATCAGAATGGGTTTGATGGCTTTCAGAAAACAACAGAGAAAAATACCTTAAAATTTTGAGAGAAAAAGGTTTTTTAAAAAATATCTAGACTTCCTTCTTGGCTAAATCATCATTTGAGTGCAAAGGTAGAGTAAAAGCATTTTTAGATGTTTCATGCACCACAATGGAGGAGAGCAAACCAAGAAAATAAGAATGCTTAAGAAATAGGAACCAAAGGATCACACACTGAGAASAAAGAAGGGGAAAGAGGGAAACTACAGGTGACAAGGCCAAGCAAGCCCAAGCAGTAGTGGGCCTGTGCCTGTGTGAGGGACAGCTGAGGGATCGAAGGAGCTGGGCAGTGCCCATGGGTATGTGACAGGGCTAATGGAACCACCGGATAGGTTCAAAGACAGCTTTTCAGAAAACAAAGCAGAAAAACAAAACAAATACTCAAATAAAATTTATGTGACTRTATTTTTAGATTTTTAAATTGATTTAACTTTAAGAAGTTAAATTTATTGGGAATAATATGAGGGTAAATAATATTACACAAAAACGTGGAAGTAAATAAGAAGGAAAAAATAAATAATTAAAAGACTTGGGAAACAGACTTGGGAGGAGTGGATAAAGGAAACTCTTAATTTTCTTCTATTCATTCTGTTTGACATTTACTTATGTACCTGTATTGCCTGGATTAAATAAAACACTTTAAAGCAACAGAAAGAGATTCACAGACACACAGAGAGGGACCTGCAGGAGATGCCCCACCCTTCTGGCCTTCCACAGAATACTACTCCAGGC